TAAGTGTGATTAGGAAATATATAAAAAAAAAAAGAAAATAAATAAATCTATTTTTTTTTTTAAAGAAAAAAAAGCAAATGTCAAAGCGCCTGAGCGGGCGCGTGCAGTGCACATGCCCGCTAGGCGCACTTGTGGGAGCCATGCGGCACGACGCGGTTGGGCTATTTTTCAGTGAGTCCCACAATTCTGCAAAAAATTCCTCCCTTGCAGAGAAACCCACCTCTTCTCTCTCCATCAACTCATTATTTACTGTTCTAAAAACTCCAAAATATTCATTGATATTGATGCTCTTGTTGAGATGGAGTTTTATTTTTCTTTTTAATTTGTTTACTTCACTTGTATTTGATTTGACTTGCAAGCCATTCAAAACGTTGCTGATGGCAATATTTTTGTATTTTTTTTTACTTTAAAGAATAAATAATTGTGAAGAGAAAATAACATTTATTGATGAAAGATAATAATTTATTAATATGATTTAAAAGTAAAATCCACTTTTAATATTTTTTTATGATTGGTTTAGTGCAATCTTGAATATTTTAGACACTGATGGAGTTGTATACGCTGCTGCGATTCTTTATTATATCTGGAGAGCAAGAAATGGTGCGGTTTGGAACGCTACCCTCCCGATGTCGAGGAGACTCCTAGTCGGCGCAACGGCTACCATGCACGCTTGGCACAAAGTACACTCGCCACCGGCTTCACCACTGCCGTGGTCTCCGACACGGCTGCTGCTGCTATGCCCCCCGTACCACCGCCGGTTGCTGCCAACATCACCGCCCAACTGCCGAGAACTTGCCGTGTAGACACCGGGTACCATCACGCGTCCAACATGGCTACAATGGGGGCAGTTCTTCTAGATGGAGGGAGTGAGTATATTTTGGCCCACACTGCAACACTTCCAAATTGTTTCTCCCCGCTAATGGCCGAATCATTTGCGTGTAAGGAAGCCTTATCATGGCTATGGGGTCGTGGAGAACGGTCTATAGAGCTTTACATAGATTGTCAGACACTTCAGCATTATCTATCTTCCACCACTACACCGATTCGCTCATATATTGGTTATGCTATTGATGGATGCAGATCATCTATGGCTGTTTTTTTATTACTGTTCAGTTAATTTTATTCCTAGATCAAATAATATTTTAGCGCATACTTTAGCTACTACTGATTTTGATCAGACTACTCCTATGTACTGGGACAATGTCCCTCCTGACTCTATAATATTTTAGCGCATCGCGCATAAAAAATACTAGTCTCTAATATATACCTTGATGGTTCCTTAAAAAAAAAATCCACTTTTTAAAAAGTGAGTTGGAATTGTAAAATACAAAGAAAATAGTAAGTGAATTGTAATTTTTTTTGAATGCAAGTGAATTGTAAATTTAATTACATGAAAGTATGACACACTTTAAAAGTGAAAAAATATAGCATGTATAATGTTAGCGTTAGAAATTTGCTCCATCACCATCTCAATAACAAAAATAATAATAATTCAGACTCTTAAGGTACAATCACACAACTTAACTGGTTAATCAATCTAAAATAAGTTTATAAGTTTTGCAATGTTTGAATTATGTACAAACATTTAATTTGGAGGTATATAAGTCAGTTGATTATGCGATTTATCTCATCTCTCATTCTTCGTGACAATAGCGGTTAGTGGTCCATTTTTTCTTTAATTTTTGCTTGATTTCCATGTGATTTTTTAGTACAATTTTGTTTATTATTTAATTCTCTAGCACCCATTTCACATTAATTAATTTGGCGTCCAAAGGCATCTAGAAAGTTGCTCTCTCTCTCATATTTTTTTTTAAGCTTGCACAAACTTACTTCACTGATTGATTTAGTAAGCAATATTTGAAAGAAGAGATCAATGTTTGAACAATTGAAGCATGTGCTCCATCTCAACTAAAAATCGAAGCTGATAGTTGGATTGCACATTAATGGTTATATGTTCAACACGAACATTGACAACGATAGTGTAGGAATAATGCTCAAAGTGGGCAAATCCTGCTAAACCATTCAGTCACCCTGATTTACATCATTCCAAATGCTCTATTAGGTCCCACTAAGCCATTAAGCCACCGTGATTTACATCCTCTCAAATACTCGGTCAGGTCCCGCTAAGCCAAGTCATTGAGAGTCAATGTGATTTACATCCCTCAAATATTCTGTCAGGTCCCGCTAAATCATTGAGTCATCATGATTTACATCCTTCATAATGCAAATGAGTCACTATGATTTATATCCTTCTAAATGTTTTGCTAGTACTTTAGGAGTGGAGATTCAACATTCTTGAAGAAAAAAAATACTACTTTTTTAATTATTTTTATTTTAGTGGCGGCGCATCCTTTTTCTGGTGCATCTTGATTCTTGTAAGACAACCTTTTTAATTGTCATATAGTATTATAAAACGAGGAGTGAGTGTGGCCAAAAATAAGAATATGTTCAAACTTGGCCATCTCCTACCAGCACAACATTGTTTACTAGTCCCTCCGTAGCCTCCCGCTGACATTAACCATGTTTAACGGTACGCCGGCAAAAACTAACATTCGTATATAATTTTTATTTGTATTTTTAATTTTTAATATTATAATGTCAATCATTACCAATTTAGTTAGTATTGTATCAATTAAATATAGGAATTAGGGTCAAATAGGCCACTGAATTGCACACCAAAGTGCAATTAAGCCATCGAACTAAAAAATAATGCAATTGGGTCCCTAAACTACACAAAATCATGCAATTAGGTCTAAAATGACTTGTTGACCTGAAATTGTGCTGACGTGGCGGTTACCAATTTTAAAAATAAATTTTAAATAAAAAATTAATTAATTAAAAAAAAAAAAAAAAAAAAAAAAAAACTAGAACTGCCGAAGACGAATCGTCTCCGGCAGGCTTCGTCTCCATGGCCGGAGACGAAGTTCTTCGTCTCCATGGCTGGAGACGAAGGTTCGTCTCCATGGCTGGAGACGAAGGTTCGTCTCCATGGCCGGAGACAAAAGCTTCGTCTCCAACCATGGAAACGAAGCCTTCGTCTCCATGGCCAGGGAGACGAAGCTTCATCTCCTGGCCATGGAGACGAAAGACTGTCGGAGACGATTCGTCTTCGGCAGTTTTAGTTTTAGTTTTATTTTATTATTATTTTTAATAATTATATAATTTTAATTAATTATTTTATTTTAAAATATATTTATAAATTATTTTTAAAATTGGTAACCTGCATTTCAGGTAAACAAGTCATTTTGGACCTAATTGCATGATTTTGTGTTGTTTAGGGACTCAATTGCATTATTTTTGAGTTCGATGGCCTAATTGCACTTTACTGTGCAGTTCAATGGGCTATTTGACCCTTATTCCTTAAATATAATATGATATATTTGTTAATATCAAACAATATTGACACAATCACTAATAATACCAATACAATTAAATAGTCTCAAAATGAGTAATTAAGTGAGTGAGGCATTATGCTCGTATCAAAATGTACAAGTTTGATTATTACCCACACCATCTTGACCGAACTTGTCGCATAAGGTTTTCTTAGTAAAATTTACTTTTATAAGGACCTCTACACCCGACATGATAGGACATAAGATTTTATAGTTATGACAAAAAAATATATTTTATCATTATATATAAATCACTTAACGATAGTAAAATAAAAAGTAATTTGATTCGATAAGCTTGGCATCTCGAAATTGAATGGACTAGCTCGATTTACATCATTAAATATTATTGATAATACAATTAATACTTTCCTTTTATAAATCCTCATAAGTAATTCTCCAATAACAATTCTAGCATTAAACAATTTTTTTTAGAGTTAATACCCAAAATCATCCTTGACTATAGTGGTTTTTCTCAATTTCGTCCTAAACGACTTTGGTGACCTAATATCGTCCCAGATTTTTGTGTTTCGCTCAATTTAGTCCCAGACTTTTGTGTTTTTGCTCAATTTAGTCATTCATTTGTTATTCTGTTCATTTGATGTTAAATAAATAGACAATTCAGTAATTTTAATATTGACATCTCTTTACTCATAGACATGTGAACTGTGAAATCTTTTTTTTTTTTTTACGAATTACTCCTAGAATTACTCCTAAAACTGCGAATGTAAAATTTGATTTGCAGGTCCGGGAGTAATTCTGGGTGTAATTCGTACAAGAAAGAGGAATTTCGCACTTCACAAGTTGAAAGTAAAGAGAGATCAATATTGACATGACTGAATTGTCCCTTTATTTAACACCAATTTGACGGAATAACAAATGGAGGACTAAATTGAGCGAAACACAAAAGTCTGGGACGATATTAGGTCACCAAAGTCGTTTAGGACGAAATTAAGAAAAATCACTATAGTCGAGGACGATTTTGTGTATTAACTCTTTTTTTTTTTTATGACTAGAGAAATTCGCGGCTATTACTTGAATGTACACTCTCTTTGTGGGATAAATCATTGTAGGCATCAGACACTGATTCTTCCACTTAAAGGATCAATGATGCACCATCATTTCACTCTTTCACAATTACTGTAAGATCGAGCTGTGGGACCTCAAAATGAGATATTTCGCCTTTTGCACCTAAGATATATATTGGATAAACTCTGGGATTGTGTAATAATATTATAATAGAAAATGACTTTTGATTCCTAGTAGGAATGATTTATTAGTCTTATTAGTTTGAGTTAGTTAACTACTGATTTACTTTAGTGTAATCTTTTATTAGATAGTCACAAAGAAAAATTTATCATATATATTGCTAAAATTTTATATTACATTGTAACAGAGTAACAGAGTTAATAGTAAAAAAAAAAAAAAAAAAAAAAAAAAAAACTAAACTTGTGAGACGATCCAATAGACAAGCGAGATGAGTGGACACGCTGTCATCGTCATTATTAACTATACATTTATTTCCTAAAGTAAAAAGAAAATTAATATTTTATTCTTTAAATTTCCCACTCTCATTTTCTATTTTTCCGCGCTCGACTCACCAAACCCCCTACCTTGCCGTAATTAAAAGTGAGAATTTGATTCGATCTCTCCTACCGGAAAGTCGCCGGAGTTGGGAATCAAATCGGACGTCGAAATGGCACTATCCATACAGCGCACTGGTAGTCTCCTGAAGCCACTATCCGCGGCGGCGTCCTACATCCGCGACTCCGCCGCCGCCATTGCCGTGGAGACCAGCCTCCCCTTCAGTAGTCACAACATCGATCCTCCGTCTCGCACCGTAGAGACGTCGGCTAAGGAGCTGATGACCTTCTTCCGCGATATGGCTCTGATGCGCCGGATGGAGATCGCCGCCGACTCGCTCTACAAGGCGAAGCTCATTCTCGGATTCTGCCATCTCTACGACGGCCAGGAAGCCGTCGCGGTAGGCATGGAGGCCGCGATCACCAGAAAGGACTGCATTATTACCTCTTACAGGGACCACTGCACCTACCTCGCCCGCGGCGGAACGCTTCTGGAAATGTTTGCGGAGCTTATGGGGAGAAAGGATGGGTGCTCGAGAGGCAAAGGAGGTTCAATGCACTTCTATAAGAAGGAGAATGGATTTTACGGCGGCCATGGGATCGTAGGGGCTCAGATTCCGCTAGGTATTGGATTGGCGTTTGCCCTCAAGTACTCAAAGGAAGAAAATGTCTCTTTCTCCATGTACGGAGATGGTGCTGCGAATCAGGGGCAACTGTTTGAGGCTTTGAACATGGCGGCTCTCTGGGATCTGCCTGCTATTCTGGTTTGCGAGAACAATCACTGTAAGAAATGGATTATCCTTTCTATCTTTTACTATACAAATTTCATATTACATATTGGCCTGTTTGGTAAATGACTGGTAGCTATAGTTGTTAGCTGTTAGTTGATTGGGTTGATTAGAAGGTATAATTAGTTGAATTAGCTGATTGCAGAAAGATGCTTGGTAAATTAGCTGTTAGCTATAGCTGTTTGGTATAATTTTATTTCTCACAAAGCTAATTGAAAATGTTGCTTTTAGCAGCTTTTTGAATTTTAGTATTTTGGAGTTACAAAAAGCTAATTAACCAAACACTTATATTGATTTTTAACCAAATCAAAAAGCTAAAAGTGGTCAAATAAGTCAAAATTGGCCTATAGGCTAACTATTTTACCAAACAGGACCATTATGGAAGTAAATTTACTCAAACTGCTCATATCTCTTCCTGAGAATTCCGTGTTTGTAATTTGGTAATTCAATATTAGAAGATATTCAACAGCTGGTTATAGATTGCTTTGACTTGTTATATGTTTAGCAATTGATGCTCAAAAGTGTAAAACTGCATTATGCTAATATAAACTATGAAAAGAGTTTCTCCATATAAGATTAAAGCAATTCTTGCTTCACATCTTTGTAATAGGGTTCTTGCTTTGCTAATGCAGATGGCATGGGGACAGCAGAATGGAGAGCAGCAAAAAGTCCTGCCTATTATAAGAGAGGGGATTATGTCCCTGGTCTGAAGGTGATTATAAATCATATTTGCCCCTTTTTTCCCCTCAATACTTCTTAGGAAAATGCTATGTGTACTCCAAATTTGTATTCCCCCACACAAAATCATAGTCACTTGTATTGGGGCCCACATGAAAAAAATAGCTTATCAGAACCCCCTAAAATTTAAGGAGTAAGATTAGAGAGTATAGAACTCTTTCTTAAATGCATGTATTTACAGCTCTCACATGACAACCTTTTTCTCTTACATATTTACTAATGGTAAAAGAACAAAGAGGGAGAGAGACTTTGAGTCTCAATGCCATTCATATTCTTTGTTGTATACATTCCATAAAATATTTGCTTCCTATAACAGGTGGATGGTATGGATGTCCTTGCTGTGAAACAAGCATGCAAATACGCCAAGGAGCATGTTCTAAAGAATGGACCTCTTGTGAGTACATATCATCCTTTTTTATGAAGTTATTTATTTGATTCCATTCATAACATCACTTGTTTAACTATAGTGTTAACAAGTTTGTGCTGAAATTTTGGTCAGATTCTTGAAATGGACACCTATAGGTATCATGGGCACTCCATGTCTGATCCCGGAAGCACATATCGCACACGTGACGAGATCTCTGGAGTGAGACAGGTAAATAGCATCTAAAGACCTACTTGAATATTTTTTTCCTATATGTGCTAATTGAAGCATGTGTTCCATCTTAACTAAAAGCCTAAGCTGATAGTTGGATTGCACATTAATGGTTATATGCTCAACAGTGCTGCATGGTATGATGGGATGTGCTTATTGTTAGAGTTAATAGGAGGGAGGTTGAGAGGATTACTCTCTACCTTGGGTTTTCGAATTTGAAACGTTTGGTTCTAGCCTATCTCTAGTGTATATAAATACACATTCTCTGTACACTTCTTTAATCATTAAGGAATACAGAGCATATTCACCTTCATAGCATAATTTCTTCGTTTAACACTTAACGAATGTGCTTTCTTACTTCGCAGGAGCGTGATCCAATTGAAAGAGTCAGAAAACTCATACTAGCTCATGATATTGCCACCGAAAAGGAGCTAAAGGTAAAAACGTTATCATCAAATAAGTTTAACAAGATCCACCGTTTTTTACATAGTTTCTATTTGAGATTTGTCTTGCTTTTCTCCTCCAGGATATTGAGAAGGAAATTAGAAAAGAAGTAGACGAAACCATAGCTAAAGCAAAGGTGAGAAAGAAGGAAACTCGCAGTTTTGGATGAGTTGAGACTGCTTGTTGATACAAGTAAATAATCATCCTCTTTATTTGCAGGAGTGCCAAATGCCAGATCCTTCTGAACTCTTTTCCAATGTGTATGCCAAAGGGTTTGGAATTGAGGTATGCAATTACTTGTAGTTTGTACAGTCCACCACCTTTTTAATTTGTGATTTGTATAAATCTTCGATAGTTAGATGGTGTCCGCTAATTTGATACATAAAATTGACAGGCTTTTGGACCAGACAGGAAGGAACTGAAAGGAATACTCCCTTGATTCTGCAAGTGTGACCAATTGGCCACTCTTTGAAGAGATAAAAGAGGGATTTGAAGAATAACCAACACACTAAAACAGTCAGGTTTCCACATTCCCTTTCCAATATAGCCTTCCTGCCCCCATTGATTTTTCACAGTTAGGTAGCTCGATTTTTTGATGATCTAAATAATGAAATCTGAATAACATTATATGGAGCGGCGCTATCTCGAGTTGCTTTCCATCTGAAGATATGCAACGCATGAGCTGCTGGCGCTGATATGCAGCCTGCATATATGTTTTCTTTCCCGGATGCTCTAATGCTTTCCCATTGTTCATATCTTTGGGCTCCATTTTTTGCAAAGATGTGAAAGTTCTTTGTCTTTCAACTACTTTTCATTGTCATATCAATGATATCATAAAGCAATATTCGATCGTCAATAATACAAATTTATTTTTAGTATACTAAATGTATGTTTTTAGTGTATTACATCTTCATGTAATATAGTAAATATTTTTTTTTTTTGAAATGCTCATGATTCTTTTTAAGATAGTATCTGTTCTATTATATACTTTCTCAAACATTTTCAGTCCAAAGAATCTAAGCCCCTACCATCGAGGTTCGAACCTATGATCATTCATTTGGAATGGTAACTGGGATACTATCATATTACATGTAATACAACTTATTAGAAAATATTAAAAATGAATTACATGGACCTATAATATACTAAAACTGCATCTGTGTATGATCTATGACATAAGGATTGATGTTGTACCGAGTGGGATGAATTAGTGTTTAAAGTCTTTATAATCATTGGTTATGTAATAGTGTACCATAAGTTTTGAATGGTGAAAATTTTCTTTTCAATTACGTAAAAAATTGTAAATACAAATGTAAATAGTGCTTTCCATGATAAAATAGGCCCTATGGTTCAATTTACCACAAGTCCACAATCATATACGGATTACATTTTTAAAATCATTCTTCATCTGTAAACTGTGTGGGGATGAGGTCTTATGAGAATCGTTATTGAACTGTGTATTGGTTTATACCGTTGATCAATGGTTCTAAAATAAGAAAAAGAAAAATAAATAAACAAATATATATATATATATATATATATATATATATATATATATATATATATATATATATAGGGAAGGGATCGGGTGCATTTGTTGCTTTTCGTGCGGATGTACAGTGGATTAATGTGCGTGAGGTTTATACTTAATGTGCGTGAGATTTGTACTCAATGTGCCTGAGATTTGTACTTAATGTGCGTCATGTTAATATGCGTGAATTTTGTACTTAATGTGCCTGAGTATTGTGTTTAATGTGCGTGAGATTTGTGCTTAATATGCGTGAGTATTTCATAATTACGAGCTCAGAAGGAAACAGAACAGAAACTCACGCACATTAACGCCCAAGCTTCTTGTTACTTCTTCCTTCAATTTGGCCATGGATTCTGGATTATCAGCTACCTTCAGTGCACTTGAATGTTTATATAGATGACGCACGCACAGTAAAATTTGCAGCAGCTAAGTGTGGATTTCTGTTGTATTATTCCCATAATTCTTAACCACCATAGCCCGCCTTCGCATCATCATCATCAGGGAGGGGGAGATGACTACTAGGGATGGGGAAGAAGCTGACATCAATATTTTCTGCTGTATTTTACACATTCACGCACATTAAGTACAAATTTCAGGCACATTAAGCACAACACTCAGTACATTGAGTACAAATATCACGCACGTTAATCCACTGCACATCCGCACGGGAACCTTTCATTATATATATATATATATATATATATATATATATATATATTAGTTTTTTGTAAATGTTTTAAATTTTAAAAAGTATTATTCATAACTGCAAAAGTGTATATAATGATATGTAGAAGTTTTCTTTACATATAAACCACTAGTGGTTTTTAAAAAAAATTTAAGAGGCAATGTTTATGTGCAAGAGAGAGGAAGAGGAGATAGAATGAGTTATGTTGCAATTATTATTCTGTGGACTATGGTCCACACATCCATATTTTGTATATTATAAAATGATGTATATTTAGTACACAAATAATGCATTTTTAGTATATTAAAATTGTATTTTGTATTTAGAAAAAATATATTATTTAGTACAAAAAAAATATATATGTATATATATAATGTACATTCAGTACACAAATAATGTACTTTTAGTACTTTAAAATGTACTTTCTTTTATGGTCCATATAACACTATATGTACTATGATCCACACAATAATTTACCGCGTGATGGGCCCAGCTTAATCTAACACTTTTTTTTTTTCTTGAGTTAATACCCAAAATAGTCCCTCGATTATGTCGTAATTACCAATTTGGTCCTCGACTATCATTCTTACCCAATTAAGTCCTCAACTATACAATTTTTTACCCAATTTAGTCCTTTGTCAATTTGACTGTTTGTTGACTGTCAAAAGTGAAAATAAAGTTGTAATTTTACAAGTTTTCTCCTTCCTCCGCATTTAGCAGCGCTAAACCATGTAGCAATAAGCTCCGGTTGGGTTCTAAACTTGTCAGTATCGAAGTAGTGGTTGTGCATCGGATAACCCATGAATTTGATTTTCAACGATTTTTTGACGATCGAAATCTGATCGGAGTGTATTGCTGCATGGTTTGGCGCTGCTAAATGGAGAGGAAGGAGAAATCTTGTAAAATTATAATTTTATCCCGACTTTTGACAGTCAACAAACAGTCAAATTAATACAGAGGACTAAATTGGGTAAGAATTGTATAGTTGAGGACTAAATTGGGTAAGAATTGTATAGTTGAGGACTTAATTGAGTAAAAGTTACATAGTTGAGGACTTAATTGGGTAAGAATGGTAGTTGAGGACCAAATTGGTAATTATAGCATAGTCGAGGGACCATTTTAGGTATTAACTCTTTTTTCTTCGAAGTTTATTTTTTCTTTTTTCTCTTCCCTCCCATTTTGACCCTATTTGGTAAAAAATTGGCTTATTTGTTCACAATTAATTGTTTGATTTAGTTAAAAAATTGGTTTATAGGCCAATTTTGACTTATTTGATCATAATTAATTGTTTGATTTAGTTAAAATATTAATATAAGTATTTGGTTAATTAGTTTTTTGTAACTCCAAACTGCTAAAATTTAAAAAGCTACTCCAAGCAACATTTTTAATTAGCTTTTTGAGAAAAGAAATTATACCAAACAGCTATCAGCTAGTTTACCAAACACTTTTACAACAGCTAATGTTATCAACTAGTTATACTCACTAATTAACACAATCAGCTATCTACTAATAGCCATTTACTAAACATGGCGAATTTATCTTTTATAGACGAACTTATAAAAAATTTTCAAAATCTGTAAATATTGGACAATTATTGTTTAATGCATATTATAATATTGGTTAATGGTATTTTAAAATTTAAAATATTTATGCACTCCTAATTTTTACCATGTGTGTATATATAATTATATATATATATATATATATATATATATATATATATATATATAATCCGAGCTGGTACAAAGAATGATGAGAGAGAGAGAGAGAAATGGAGGGCAATAAACAGGAAATGCAGAGCTCAATTCCCAAGTGTACAGTAATATTTATTCCCTGGTGGCTGGTGCAGCACAGTCATATTACTGTGCATGCAAAACAAAATGCAATCCAGCCAATTTCCAGTGCACAACCTGACACCTTTTCCACCAATCGCAATGCCCTTAAACCCCGTGGCCTCTTTTTTAAATCGTAATACTACTCCATTATGGTCCATGTCTTTCTCTGTCTGTTTAACGGTCCAGATCCATCCGATTTCCCCATGACCTTTTTTATTTAAAAATCATACCCCATGACCTTTTTTATTTAAAAATCATATTGTGGTCTGGGTCTTTCTCTGTCCGTTTAACGGTCCAGGTCCTTAAATCGTAATACTACTTTTTTTTTTTGTGATAGCCACACATTGTGGTCTCTGTCCGTTTGACGGTCCAGGTCCACCCTTTTGGGAGGCACAAAAGTTAGCCCAAAGAGAATCGTTACTTATGGGAATTGAACCCAGATTATCCCAGAATTCTCCCCCACAAAGAGAGCTCATTTGCCACTTGAGCTACCCTGTTGGGTTGTAATACTACTCTAACTCTTGATTAATCAGAACAGGAAAAAAAATAAATGCCATTTTTAGTTTTTTTATTCAACGATCGATATATATATTTTGGTGACTATAATTTAACCAATGATGAATACTCCGTATTTATAACACAGGCTGGGCGGTAGCAATGCGCCAATGCATGGTGGCAGTGGGCGGTTCCGCCATTACATTGTACAGTGAGTGAAAGACAAGACAGAGAATCCTAGGCGCTTCTTCGTACCCACATAACAAATTTATAAAACACACCCTATTGCATGCTTTAATTTGCACCATTAATACAAACAAATTAAATAATTATGTGTGGATATTAGAAAGTAATTTTAAGCCAAACACCTTATGATCAACTACTCAACTAGTTTGGTTAGCATGGGCCGTCGTGTACTTTCATTCATTAAGAGAGTCGAAAGTTCTCGGAAAAACCAATCGTCAACACTTTGTCTCTAAATTAGGTCCGATTCAGATTTTAAAATGTCTCTTACAGTTAGGGTCTGTTCACGACACCTTACATGGCGTTTGGTTGGAAGGAAGGAATTAATGGGGAAAAGAATTGTAATTCGGTGAAAAAAGTATAAGGTAGGAATTACAATTACATTGTTTAGTAGGGAGGAATAATGGAAATGAGAGGAGGGATATAAAGACTAAAATACTCTTGTGTAATAATATTAATAATAACATTTCAAGGACAAATATGTCATTATTTTCCCTTTTCATTGTATGGATGAATTCATTGAATTGCAATAGGTCCACTATGAATTGCATTTTAATGAATTGAGGGAATTGTAAGGGTGTAATTGCAATTCCCTCCAACCAAACAATGTAGTTTATGATTTCACTGAATTGCAATTCATGCCAACCAAACACCCCTTATGGTCTGCCCAAATACCTTATGGTCAAACGGCATAACTGTGACTCTCAAGTTCCACGATATCAAGGAAAGTAAATCTCACTTATGAGAGGTAGAATTTTTCTTTTCTCTTTCGAGTGAATGAGAATCTATCAAATTGGCAAAGATAATGATACAAAATTGACAGTGTAATATTCTTATTATACGATAACATTAATTGTCTTGAAATAAATGATCACTTGAATGAAACATATTTTTTATATAAGAATATTACGAATTTAATTATTGTAAACATCTTATCAATTTATTTAGTAGTATAGGGTATGGAGCAAGCTAGCTAACAAAAGCAACTGTAACCCCAACGAGAACTTCAACTTCCCCAATTTTATAATCTCATTGATGTTAACCTTGCAGTTTTAAGGAATTTAATACTC